GGCTTCGGCCTCCCACACCTTCACCCTTGACTCGGGGGCTTCTCGCTCCTTCTTTCGAGACCGCACCACACTCACGCCGCTTGGCCGGCCAGTTGCAGACCCCTCTGGGGGTCCTGTCCTTGCTCACTACTCCACTGTCCTCCCGTGTCCGGCGGCCCCCTTTGGCACCCTGTCTGGTCTTTACCTCCCCTCGTTCTCTACAAACTTGGTGAGTGGTGCTGACCTACAGGATGCGGGGGTTCACCAGTTCACTCCTGCGCGTCAGCGGGTGACCCACTGCACGGACGCTCAGACAGGCCGACACCTGGCCACGTTTACACATCGGCCGGGGTCGAGCCTGTACACACTGACCACTGCGTCTCCTCTAGTCACTGCGTGTGGTCAGGTAGCTGCGTCGGGTCAGGTGTTTACTGCAGCGTCTCGGTCTGGTCCTAAGTCTGCCCCCTGCTCGTGTCGCCTCCTGTCTCACGAGACTCTCCTCTAGCACCACCGCCTTGGTCACCCCTCCCTGCTTCGTCTCCGAAGCATGGCCTCCCGTGTCCTTGTCTCTGGTCTTCCCCGGTCCCTCTCTCCCCTTCCTCCTGGGCCTGGCCCTACCTACGTCCCCTGTGTCAAGGGGCGGCAGCGGGCTACCCCTCACTCCTCCCAGTTTCCTCCGACAGAGGCCCCGCTGCAGACACTTCACATGGACGTGTGGGGCCCGGCCCGCGTCCGTGGACAGGGTCACGAGCGCTACTTCCTGCTGGTGGTTGACGACTACTCGCGTTACACCACAGTCTTCCCCTTGCGCAGCAAGGGTGATGTCACTGCGGTGTTGATCGACTGGATCCGCGCAGCTCGTCTCCAGCTCAGGCAGAGCTTCGGTTCGGACTTTCCTGTTCTGCGTCTGCACTCTGACAGAGGCAGAGAGTTCTCCTCTGGCCTTGTGCGAGCCTACTGTCGTGCACGAGGCATCCGCCAGACCTTCACGCTTCCGGACTCTCCACAGCAAAATGGGATTGTTGAGCGCCGCATTGGCATGGTCATGGATGTCGCTCGTACGTCCATGATGCATGCTGCTGCCCCCCATTTTCTGTGGCCGTTTGTTGTTCGGTACGCGGCGCATTAGATCAACCTTCACCCCAGGGTCTCCATGCCGGAGACTTCCCCAGCTTTGCTGTGGACTGGGAAGGTTGGCGATGCGTCTGCGTTTTGTGTCTGGGGATCTCGGGCGTTTGTCCGCGACTTGTCTGCAGACAAGCTGTCCCCTCGTGCTGCTCCTTGCGTCTTCCTTGGCTTCCCCCCTGACGGGCCAGGGTGGCAGTTCTACCACCCCACCTCTCGCCGTGTTCTGTCCTCCTAGGACGTCACGTTTGACGAGTCGGTCCCCTACTACCGCCTCTTCCCCTACCGCACTCCGTCTCTCCCCCCGCCACCGCTCTTCCTTGTACCAGGTCCCCCCCCAGTAGACCCCCTCCCCCCTCAGGGTCCTGCCCCTTCAGGTGTGTCCCAGGTAGACGCAGTCGAGCCTGTCGAGGTTACTGGTGACTGTTGTGCTGCTGAGGGTGCTGAGCCTGGGGGTGCTGACTCTGGGGGTGGTGAGTGTGTGAGTGCTGCGCCTGGGGTTGCTGAGCCTGCGGGTGCTACTACTGGGGGTGCTGAGCCTGGGGGTGCTGCGACTGGGGGTGCTGAGCCTGGGGGTGCTGAGCCCGGGGGTGCTGCGACTGGGGGTGCTGAGCCTGGGGGTGCTGAGCCTGGGGGTGCTACGCGTGGAGGTGCTGAGCCTGGAGGTGCGGAGCCTGAGGGAGTTGGGCCTACTCGTGTGGCGTCTGGCGGTGCTGGGCCAGGAGGTTCTCCGGGTGCTTCGTCTCGACGGGAGCCCCTCTCTCCACACGAGCTGCGTGAGTGGTTTGCCCGGCGCTGGAGGCGTACTGTTGGAGCTGGAGGTTCTCCGACTGCTGAGGGTGCTGGTGCCGCGGGTCCCGGAGGTGCTCGTGCAGGGAGTACTGGAGCTGCTGGGCCTGCGGGTGCGACTGGAGCTGGAGCTGCTGAGGGTGTTGGCGCTGAGGCTACTTCTGTCGGTCCTGGAGGCGGTCCTGCTGGGGGTACTACTGGTGGTGCTGGAGGTACTGGAGCTGGAGGTGCTCCTGGCGCTAGTGCTGCCACTGGGGGTGCTGGTGCTGTCCCTGCTGTGTCTAGAGTCACCGCGCGGCCTCGGCCGTACTTCGTTCCGCTCCTTCAGCAGGTTCTTGGTCTCCCGCCTTCTACTTGTCCTCCTCCTCCCTTAGAGTGTCCACAGCCTGTCCCGTCACAGTTACAGTTACATCCGTCCTACCCACTGCTTGCTCCTTCTCCCTACACTGGTCCTACTGGAGGTCTTGCTGAGCGTCGTGAGCCTGCGTCTCGCCCTGTGTCGCCTGTCCGTGCTGCTCGCATTGGTGGTCGTGGTTCGCGTCAGTGTCCTTCTCCTGTCCCTGGCACGCACCGGATGTCTCTGCGTCCGTCCACTGCTCCTCTGCGTGCCCCTTTGCCCTCTCCTCCTGAGTCCTCTCTTCCTGCTCTTCCCGACCCGGAGTCGGACTCTCTTCGTGCTGCCAGTCCTACTGTCACGCGTCTCCTTGCTACTGTCGTCACTGACCCTTCCCTTGAGTCCACTGCTGCGTCTGCCCTAGTCACTGAGCTCGTCGACTTTGCTGGTCGCTGTCGTCTAGACTACGCTGCTAGTCTTGTCGCTGAGTGTGAGTCTGTCTGTCCTCCGTCCGTCGGGGGTGAGTGTGCCCTTGGCACAGACGTCCTTGAGGACAGGCAGGAGGAGTTCCAGTGTTTGGCTGCTGCTTCACCTCATCTCGTGTCCGTACTGCTTACACCTGAGGGAGACCCGGATGCACTTGACATCCCAACTCCGCGCTCTTACGCGGAGGCGATAGAGGGTCCCTACTCCTCTCAGTGGCAGGCAGCTATGGACACAGAGATGGCTTCCTGGAAGTCCACAAGCACCTACGTTGACGAGGTTCCCCCGCCTGGGGCGAACATCGTCAGTGGCATGTGGATTTTCAGGGTGAAGCGGCCGCCGGGTTCTTCGCTTGTCTTCAAGGCGCGTTACGTGGCTCGAGGCTTCAGTCAGCGGCATGGAGTTGACTACTTTCAGACCTTCTCTCCCACCCCAAAGATGACCACTCTTCGGGTACTGCTGCACATAGCTGCTCACCGCCACTACGAGCTGCACTCTCTTGACTTCAGCACTGCTTTCTTGCAGGGCAGCCTGCACGAGGAGATCTGGCTGCGTCGCCCACCTGGCTTCACTGGGTCTTTTCCTCCTGGCACCCAGTGGAGCCTCAGGCGGCCAGTCTACGGTCTCCGCCAGCACCGCGTGAGTGGCACGACACACTGAGGACTACACTTGCGGCTCTTGGGTTTGCTCCCTCTACTACTGACCCGTCACTGTTTCTGCGCACCGACACTTCTTTGCTGCCGTTCTACATCCTCGTGTACGTCGACGACTTGGTCTTTGCCACAGCTGACACTGCTGGACTCGCCCACGTGAAGTCCGAGCTGCAGAAGAGACACACGTGCACAGACCTGGGTGAACTGCGCAGCTACCTTGGCTTGCAGATCACCCGGGACAGAGCACGCAGCACCATTACCCTGACTTAGTCACACATGGTGCAGCATGTCCTTCAGCGCTTCAGGTTCACGTACTCCTCGCCTCAGGCCACTCCTCTGCCTACTCGCCACTCGCTCTTAGATCTGCCTTCGGATGAGTCCGTAGAGTCGAGTGGCCCGTACCCAGAGCTTGTTGGCTGCCTCATGTACCTGATGACCTGCACTCGACCTGACCTTGCATACCCTCTTAGCATTCTCGCACGCTATGTTGCTCCTGGGAGACACAGACCGGAGCACATGGCTGCAGCGAAGAGGGTGTTGCGCTTCTTGTGCAGTACGTCGGGCATGGGGCTTGTGCTTGGAGGGCAGAGTCCAGTGGTCCTTACTGGGCACGCAGACGCTTTTTGGGCTGACGACCAGGCTACGCAGCGGTCGTCACAGGGTTACACCTTCAGCCTTGGTTCCGGCTCTGTTTCGTGGCGGGCTACCCGCTCGTCTTCTGTTCTCGGCTCCAGTTGTGAGGCTGAGATCTACGCCGGGGCCATGGCTGCTCAAGAGCTTCGCTGGCTCACCTACCTGCTGTCTAACCTCGGAGAGCCGCCTCGTTCTCCTCCAGTGCTGTACGTAGACAACAAGGCCATGCTGGCCTTGTGTCGAGAGCAGAGACTGGAGCACAGAACGAAGCACATTGCTCTTCGCTACTTCCTTGCTCGTGAGCTGCAGCAGCGTGGTCAGCTGCGTCTTGCGTACGTGGCCTCTGAGGCCAACACTGCTGATATCTTCACCAAGGCGCTTGCGCCTTGTGATCATCAGCGCTTCTGTACTCAGCTGGGTCTTGTGCCTGCGTTGCCTCACTTGCTCACCTCTTGACCTTGCTTGTACTGTTACATATATATATATATATACACCTGCTCTTGCTTGTCTAGCCTTTTATATATATATGTACTCCTGCATGTGAACTGGCCTTGTGGCCTTAACCTTGTGCTCGGAATGTGTGGTGACTTTGTGATCCACCCTGAGCTTGCTTTGCTTTGCTTTGCTTGACTGGTCTTGTGACCCCTTGTACCCCCCCAGTTTGCTTATGGGGGTGTGTCAGAACATTATAGCTTATGCTTTTGTGTAGGCTGTAGCACTAGCCCCATGCCCGACGTACTGCACACATAGCGCAACACCCTCTTCGCTGCAGCTATGTGCTCTGGTCGGTGTCTACCAGGAGCAACATAGCGTGCCAAGATGCTAAGAGGGTATGCAAGGTCAGGTCGTGTGCAGGTCATCAGGTACATGAGGCAGCCAACAAGCTCTGGGTACGGGCCACTCGACTCTACGGACTCATCCGAAGCCAGAGCTGAGAGCGAGTGGCGAGTAGATAGAGGAGTGGCCTGAGGCGAGGAGTACGTGAAGTCGAAGCGCTGAAGGACCTACTCCACCATGTGTGACTGATTCAGGGTAATGGTGCGCTGTGCTCTGTCCCGGGTGATCTGCAAGCCAAGGTAGCTGCGCAGTTCACCCAGGTCTGTGCACGTGTGTCTCTTCTGCAGCTCGGACTTCACGTGGGCGAGTCCAGCAGTGTCAGCAGTGGCAAAGACCAGGTCGTCGACGTACACGAGGATGTAGAACGGCGGCAAAGAGGTGTCGGTGCGTAGAAACAGCGACGGGTCGGCTGTAGAAGGAGCAAGGCCAAGAGCCGCAAGGGTCGTCCTCAGTGTGTCGTGCCACTCACGGGGCGCCTGGCGGAGACCGTAGACTGGCCGCCGGAGGCTCCACTGGGTGCCAGGAGGAAACGACCCAGTGAAGCCAGGAGGGCGGCGCAGCCGGATCTCCTCGTGCAGGCTGCTCTGCAGGAAAGCAGTGCTGAAGTCAAGAGAGTGAAGCTCGTAGTCGCGCTGAGCGGCTATGTGCAGCAGCACCCGAAGAGTGGTCATCTTCGGGGTGGGAGAGAAGGTCTGAAAGTAGTCAACTCCCTGCCGCTGACTGAAGCCTCGAGCCACGTAACGCGCCTTGAAGACAGACGGAGAGCCCGACGGCCGCTTCACCTTGAAAATCCACATGCCACTGACGATGTTCGCCCCAGGTGGGGGAACCTCGTCGACGTAGGTGCCTGTGGACTTCCAGGAAGCCATCTCTGCATCCATGGCCGACTGCCACTGAGAGGAGTAGGGACCCTCGATCGCCTCAGTGTACGATTGAGGAGTCGGGATGTCTAGTGCATCCGTGTCTCCCTTAGGGGCAATCAGCGTGGACACGAGATGGGGCAAAGCAGCCGCAAAGCACTAGAACTCCTCCTGCCTGTCCTCAAGGACGTCCGTGCTAAGAGCACACTCACCCCCGACGGACGGAGGACAGACAGACTCAGACTCAGCAACAAGACTGGCAGCGTAGTCTAGACGACAGAAGCAGCGAAGTCGACAAGCTCAGCAACGACAGCAGACGCAGCAACAGACTCAAAGGAAGGGTCAGTGACGACAGTAGCAAGAAGGCGCGTGACCGTAGGACTAGCAGCACGAAGGGAGTCAGACTCCGGGTCAGCAAGAGAAGGAAGAGAGGACTCTGGAGGAGACGGCAACGGGACACGCAGAGGAGCAGTGGAAGGACGCAATGCCATCTGGTGTGTGCCGGGGACCGCAGGAGGACGCGGACGCGCAGTACGACCACTAGTGCGAGCAGCACGAACAGGTGACGCAGGACGAGACGCAGGCTCACGACGCTCAGCAAGACCTCCAGTAGGACCAGTGTAGGGAGAAGGAGCAGGTAGAGGGGAGGCGGGCGGTAACTGTGACTGCGACTAGACAGGCAGTGGACACTCTAGGGGAGGAGCAGGACCAGTAGAGGGCGGGAGTTCAAGAACCTGCTCCAGGAGCGAAACGAAGTACGGCCTCGGCCGCGCTGCGCCTCTAGAACCAGCAAGTAAGGTACCAGTACCCCCAGCGGCAGCACCAGCGCCAGCAGAACCTCCAGCTCCAACAGCGCCAACTCCAGTACCCTCAGAAGCACCAGCGCCAGCAGCACCGCCAGCGCCAACACCCCCAGCAGCTCCAGCTCCAGCAGCACCAACTCCAGTAGGACCGTCAGCACCAGCTGCCTCAGCAGCATCCCGAGACGCTCCAGCACAAGTAGAAACACTAGCGCCAACACCCCTAGCACCTCCAGCTCCAGCAGCACCAACTCCAGTAGGACCGTCAGCACCAGGTGCCTCAGCAGCACCCCCAGACGCACCAGCACCAGTACAAACACCAGCGCCAACACCCCCAGACTCAGCAGCACGTCTCCAGCGGCGAGCAAACTACACGCGCAGCTCCTGTGGAGAGAGCGGCTCCCGCCTCGACGAAGTACCGCCGGCGGCCACACGAGCAGACCTAGCACCCCCAGGCTCCGCACCCCCAGACCCAGCACCCCCAGGCTCAGCACCTCCAGTCTCAGCACCCCCAGACTCAGCACCCCCAGACCCGGCACCCGCAGACCCGGCACCCGCAGGCTGAGCACCTCTAGCAGCACCAGAGTCTACAGCTACCTTGACAGGCTTGACTGCATCTACCTGGGACACACCTGAAGGGGCAGGACCCTGAGGAGGGAGGGGGTCTACCTGAGCAGCACCTGGCGCAAGGAAGAGCGGCGGCGGGGGGAGGGGCGCAGTGCGGTAGGGGAAGAGACGGTAGTAAGGCACCGACTCGTCAAAGGTGACGTCCTGGGAGGACAGAACACGGCGCGTGGTGGGGTAGTAAAACTGCCAGCCAAGCGCGTCAGGGGGGAAGCCAAGGAAGACGCAAGGAACAGCACGGGGGGACAGCTTGTTTGCAGACAAGTCGCGGACAAACGCCCGAGATCCCCAGACCCGAAACGCAGACACATCGCCAACCTTCACTGTCCACCGCAAGGCGGGGGAGGTCTCTGGCAAGGAGACCCGGGGCTGAAGGTTGAGCTGATGCGCGGCGTACTGAACCGCAAACGGCCACAGAAAATGGGGGGTAGCCGCATGCATCATGGACGTACGCGCGACGTCCATGACCATGCCAATGCGGCGCTCAGCAATCCCATTTTGCTGTGGAGAGGCCGCAAGCGTGAAGGTCTGGCGGATGCCCTGTGCCCGACAGAAGGCTCCCAGACGGGCAGAGGAAAACTCCCCTCCTCTGTCCGAGTGCAGACGCAAAACAGGAAAGTCCGAGCCGAAACTCTCTCTGAGCTGGAGACGAGCTGCGCCGATCCAGTCGATCAACATCTCAGTGACGTCACCCTTGCTGCGCAAGGGGAAGACTGTGGTGTAACGCGAGTAGTCGTCAACGACCAACAGAAAGTACCGCTCTCTCCCCTGTCCACTAACGCGGGCTGGGCCCCACACGTCCATGTGTAGAGACTGTAGCGAAGCCTCTGTCGGAGGAAACTCGGAGGAGTGAGGGGCGGCGCGCTGTCGCCCCTCGACGCAGGGGACGCAGGTAGGGCCAGGCCCCGGAGGAAGGGGAGGGAGAGACCGAGGAAGACCAGAGACAAGGACACGGGAGGCCATGCCTCGGAGACGAGGCAAGGAGGGGTGGCCAAGGCGGTGGTGCCAAAGGAGAGTCTGGTGGGACAGCAGACGACACGAGCAGGGGGCAGACTCAGGACCAGACCTGGACGCCGCAGCAAACACCTAACTCGACGCAGCTACCTGGGCAGACTCAGCAGTAGGAGGAGACTCACCAGTAAGGGTGTACAGGCTCGACCCTGGCCGACAGGTGAACGTGGCCAAGTGTCGGCCTGTCCGAGCACACCTGCAGTGGGTCACTCGCTGACTCGCAGGAGTGAACTAGTCAACCCCTCAATCCTGTAGGTCCACTCCACTCACCAAGTTCGTAGAGAACGAGGGGAGGTAGAGACCAGACAGGGTGCCAGAGGGGGCTGCAGGGCACGGAAGGACAGTGGAGAAGCTAGCAAGGAAAGGACCCCTAGAGGGGTCTGCTAGGGAGACTGCGACCGGCCGACTAAGCGGCGTAAGAGTTGTGCGGTCTCGAAAGAAGGAGCGGGACGCACCCGAGTCCAGGGTGAAGGTGTGGAAGGCCTTAGCCGACGTAGTACCTGAGAGAGCAGACTCACCAGCACCTGGGGCGGCAGACGCACTAGCACCTGGGGCAGCCGACGCACTAGCACCTAGAGCAGCAGTCTCACCAGCACCTAGCGCAGCAGCCTCAATGCCCGGGTCAGGCGGTACACACAGGTAACAGGCACCCTCAACACTATCAGCAACAGCATACATGGCAGCAAGAATAGCATCAAAGTCAAGATCAAAGATAGCAACCCCGGCCTTAGCCAGAGCTCGGCCCAGCGAGGGATCTCTGATGCCTCAGGGAACTGGCGACGCCACGCGTCTGTCAGGCGACCAAAGCAGCGCTGGGTGGGGTGCGGACCCCCGCACTGCTCACCAGTGTGGTCGCCGGTACGGAGAACGTAAGAGCAGGGACCAAAACCCCCACCGCACTGGCGTGCAGTGTACCACTCACGAAGCTGCTGAGGGGACAGGGTCACACCACTCCGCTGCTGCTGCTGGCGCTGACCACCACCGGCGCCACCCCTCGACGCAGAGTCGCGACTCGCTCCACCACCGCCGCCTCTGCCGCCGCCGCCGCCTCCGCCGCCTACGCCGCCTCCGCCGCCTCTTCCACCTCCGCCTCCTCCACTGCCTCCGCCGCCTCCGCTACCTCCGCCGCCTCCACCGCCTCCGCCGCCTCCACTGCTGCCGCCGCCGCCGCCACCCCCAGCACCACTCCCACCACCACCCCCACTCCCTCCACCGCCTCCACCACCACCTCCACCGCCCCCTCCACCTCCTCCAGTGCCCTTGCCCCCCTTGCCCTTGCCGGTGCGGCGTCTCCCGCTCGGGGCAGACGCAGCGCCGACCGACTCAAAACCAACGAGGTCGGCCAAAGCAGCAGAGGCAACAGAGGGCAAGAGGGGGGAGGGAGAACACTGTCAGAATGCTATATAGCTTATACATTTGTGTAGGCTATAGTGGGGTATCCCATAGGGGGTACAACCCAATTAGGGTTAGTACTTGTACTCACTCATTTCATAGTTGATTCATTCTCGTTTCAATTCTCACATGGAATCGAGCAGGTTCCCCCGTGGGAACTATTCCTAAGGCCCTACTACTGCTTCCGCTGCTACTTGATTTTCTTTCTGGCGCGCGCCCCGAGGCGCGCGACCCCGCCTCGTTCGTCGCGGCCCCGCCCCTTGTCGCGGCCCCGCCCTACGTCGCGGCCCCGCCCTAGGTTGCGGCCCCGCCCCGAGGCGCGCGACCCCGCCTCTTTCGTCGCGGCCCCGCCCCTTGTCGCGGCCCCGCCCTACGTCGCGGCCCCGCCCTACGTCGCGGCCCCGCCCCTCGTCGCGGCCCCGCCACCTCTCGTCGCGGCCCCGCCATCTCTCGTCGCGGCCCCGCCACTCTCGTCGCGGCCCCGCCCTTCGTTGCGGCCCCTGCCGCCCTTCGTCGCGGCCCCTGCCGCCCTTCGTCGCGACCCCTGCCGCCCTTCGTCGCGGCCCCTGCCGCCATTCTCCACCGTGGCCCCGCCACCTCCCTTGCGGCCCCGCAGCCCTGCACCGACCCGGCCCCGCCTCTGCTGGCCCCGTCGCCTGCCCCTGCGCCCCTGCGACCCTGCTCCACCTCTGCCGGCCCCGGCGCCGCCTCTGCTGGCCCCGTCGCCGCTCCACCCGGCCCCGCCGCCGTCCCCAGGCGGCCCCGCCGTCACCACCGAGCCGCCGGCGCCGCCGAGCTAGTGCCGAGTCACCCGAGCCGCCCGAGCCGCAGCGCCACCTCAGCCGCCCGAGCCGCCGGGTCGCCGAGCCGCCGAGCTGCAGTTGCTTCCGAGCAGCCGTACCGCCAAGCCGCCGAGCCGCCCGAGTCGCCCGAGCAGCCGAGCCGCCCGAGTCGCCCGAGCAGCCGAGCCGCCCGAGTCGCCCGAGCCGCCGAGCCGCAGTTGCTGCAGTGCCGCCGTGCCGCCAAGTCGCCGAGTCGCCGAGTCGTCGAGCCTCCTCTTCCCACCACTGGTGAGCCCCTGCCTTACTAGCGCGCTGCCTACTGCTTGCTTGGCTGCCTGCCTTACTGCTGCTACTCCTGCTCCTGCTTCTACTGGCAGCAGCCAGATGCAGCTCCAACGCCGCCCACACGCATCTCTCACGCCCCAGCAGCTTCATGAGTGGTACGCTCAGAGTGGAGGGTCTCTCAGTTCTGTTCGCTGCTCTTACGTGATTCGCACTGGTGCTCGGACTGGTCAGCCTTGTGGGACGCCTAGTCACACACCGTCCCGCTGCTTTGCCCGTCTGAGCAACACCTGGCGTACCGAGTTTGGCGACGAGGCTGAGCTCCCCGACTGGGTGGAGTTGCTTAGGCAGAGGGTAGATATATTTGCTCTTGACTATGATGCTATTCTCACTGCCATGTATGCATTGCCTACTAGTGCTGATCGTGCCGGTCACCTGTGCGTACCGTCTGCTCCAGGTACAGGTGCGGCTGCTGCTCTAGGTGCTAGTGAGTCTGCTTCCTCAGGTGCGGGTGAGTCTGCTCTCTCAGGTACCGCGTCGGCTCCGGCCTCTCACACCTTCACCCTTGACTTGGGGGCTTCCCGCTCCTTCTTTCGAGACTGCACCACACTCACGCCGCTTGGTCGGCCAGTTGCAGTCTCTCTGGCAGACCCCTCTGGGGGCCCTGTCCTTGCTCACTTCTCCACTGTCCTCCCGTGTCCGGCGGCCCCCTCTGGCACCCTGTCTGGTCTTTACCTCCCCTCGTTCTCTACGAACTTGGTGAGTGGTGCTGACCTGCAGGATGCGGGGGTTCACCAGTTCACTCCTGCGAGTCAGCGGGTGACCCACTGCACAGACGCTCGCACAGGCCGACACCTGGCCACGTTTACTCGTCGCCCGGGGTCGAGCCTATACACACTGACCACTGCGTCTCCTCTAGTTGCTGAGCCTGGTAGGGTAGCTGCGTCGGGTCAGGTGTTTGCTGCAGCGTCCAGGTCTGGTCCTGAGTCTGCCCCCTGTTCGTGTCTCACGAGACTCTCCTCTGGCACCACCGCCTTGGTCACCCCTCTCTGCTTTGGCCCAGAGGCATGGCCTCTCGTCTTCTTGTTTCAGGTCTCCCCCGGTCCCTCCCTCCCCTTCCTTAGGGCCCTGGCCCTACCTGTGTCCCCTCTGTCGAGGGGCGCCAGCGTGCTGCCCCTCACTCCTCCCAGTTTCCTCCGACAGAGGCCCCGTTGCAGACGCTTCACATGGACGTGTGGGGCCCAGCCCGCGTCCGTGGACAGGGTCACGAGCGCTACTTCCTGCTAGTTGTTGACGACTACTCGCGTTACACCGCAGTCTTCCCCTTGCGCAGCAAGGGTGATGTCACTGAGGTGCTGATCGACTGGATCCGCGCAGCTCGTCTCCAGCTCAGGCAGAGCTTTGGCTCGGACTTTCCTGTTGTGCGTCTGCACTCAGACAGAGGCGGAGAGTTTTCCTCTGGCCTTCTGAGAGCCTACTGTCGCGCACGGGGCATCCATCAGACCTTCACGCTTCCGGACTCTCCG